GAGCTAATCAAAACTGTTTTACTTTTCGTATTTGTAGTATTGATCATATATTTGCATACAAATTGATTTCTGTTGTGGGTATAAAAAATGTTTTTTTTCTGTTAAATTTGGTCACATTTTCAAAGAGTCACTGCAGAGGGACCAAAGAGCCACATGTGGCCCCAGAGCCGCAGGTTGCGGAGCCCTGATCTGTATAGTTGGAGCCAAGTTGAGGCAGCAACATAAAAACCAAAGCTCATCGTCTCAAAGTGACAACAGCTGGGCAGATGTCTGACAGGCAGCTGAAGCCTGAAGGAAGAAATGAAGACAAGGCATCTTGGAGAACAGCAAGCATCGCTAACAGTCTGTTTGTCTAGACAGCTGCGTTGCATTTTCAACCTTGATGAGCGGAGAAACAGCTCAGCAGTTCAACTCCAGAATGCTTAATTAACACCAAACTCTGTCGGGACAAAGACGGGCCCGTAATGACAGAGACGGAGACAGATGTTTTCAATCCAAACATACAGAATCTCCAAGCTCTTTATCCTCTCTTTGAATTATTCTTCGCTTTTATATCAAACCACTTTCTCTTCTATTTTGCTTTCCCAGCAGCAGCAGCAGCCAGAGTCTATTTCAAACTTCCTCCCCTGCTTTGAAGCGACCTCGTCTGTGACATGATTCATTCATTTCTACTGTCAATAAGCAGAGAATACTGTGAAATTAATGGAGTCTTAATAGGAAATCCCTCACTGTGGGTTTGCGAGTGAAGCTGAGGTTAAATGTTTTCTTCTCAACGACCCGGGAATTAAAAAGACATGCATGGCAAGTGATAAAAATAATCACTGTTAGGTGGGTTGAGAACTATTATCACAAAACTCAAAGAAGTTCAGTTTAAGCTGTGGATGTGTTTGTCCTTTACCTTGGTCTGGGTCCATGCCAAAGAAAGAGTTTTTGCGGCCGAAGCGGATGCTGAAAGTCCTGCCGGCTGAGGTAGTACTTTTGGGGTAGGAGACCTGCATCAAGTTGACGTGACAGTTTGTGGGAACAAAGTCCATGCAGCCCAGTGGGTGAGGGCGGACGCCAGCCTGCCTGAAGGGGGGCCACACCTTGTCCCTCAGCTCCTGGGAGAACTGGGTCAAACAAAAAGATCTGGGTAAATGTGGATGCAGACTTTCTCTATTTTAACAAATACATTGATTTTAATCCCAGTAAGCTGCAAGATATCTGTTTTAGGATCTGTTTAGAACTAAACCAACGTATGCCCCTGTACCTGCTGATAGCTGCTGATGCGCCGTTTGATACTCTCCAGCTTGGTGTCGCAGATTTGTCTGAACTCGTACTGGGGCATGGTAACGACTCGGTCGCTCTGGGAGATGAGCTGGCTGCAATTATGTACAAAAAGGCTGTCGTCACCAGAGAAWGCCTCCAGGATCTGAAAAGATAAAAACCACCAATAAGGACGAATAAGGATTTGTGGGGAAAAAATAAATAAATAAAAATTTGAAACTTGATGTTTCCATTTCCAACCAGATTTGGAACAAACTACGTGTTAATCTGATTGGATGTTTCGTCTGCTAMAAGTATATTTTCTACCAGCAGCAACACAAGACAACTGTTTTTTGTTTAGATAAACACTGAGT